AATGAATTGTTGTGATTGTAACTGCGCTTAATATCATAATTAATGTTAACAATACCGGTGTACAACGGGCTGTTACACTCGGCCTCAGCTTTAAGCTTAGCCCAACGAAGGGCTTCAAGTTTAAAAGATCGGCATCAGTCTTGAGCTTCAACTCAGCCCAACTAAGGGCTTCAAATTTATTAGCTCAGCCCAGCAAAGGGCATCAGCTTTGAGCTTCAACTCGGCCCAACTAAGAGCTTCAAATTTATTAGCTCGACCTCGGCCTTGAGCTCAGCCCAGCGAAGGGCTTCAATTTAAAAGCTCGGCCTTAGCCTAGAGCTTGAATTCAACTCAACTAAAGGCTTTAAGTTTAATAGCTCAACCTCGACCTTGAGCTCCAACTCAGCCCAGTGAAGGGCTTCAAGATTAAAGCTCGACCTCAGCCTTGAGCTTCAACTCAGCCCAGTGAAGGGCTTCATGATTATCAACTCAGCCCATTGAAAGACTTAAAGTTTAAAAGCTCGGCCTCAGCCTTGAGCTTCATCTCAGCCCAGTTAAGGGCTTAAAGTTTAAAAGCTCGGCCTTAGCCTAGAGCTTCAACTCAGCCCAACAAAGGGCTTAAAGTTTAATAGCTTGGCTTCGGCCTTGAGCTCAGCCCACCTAAATTTATTAGCTCGGCCTCAGCATTGAGCTCTTCCCAACAAAGGGATTCAAGATTAAAGCTCATCTTCGGCCTTGATCTCTAACTCAGCCCAACCAAAGGCTTCAAGATTAAAGCTCGACTTTGGCCATGAGCTCCAACTCAGCCCAACCAAGGGCTTCAAGATTAAAGCTCGACATCAGCCTCGAGCTCAGACCACGAAGGGCTTCAAGTTTAAAAGCTCGGCATTAGCCTTGAGCTTCAACTCAGCCTTAGTCATAGCTTCAGGCTCCGAGTTCAAAATGAAGACGAAATTGGAGAGATGTGATCATAACAAAAGGATCACACCCCAATCCGCGATAAAAATGAAGACGAAATTGGAGGGATGTGATCCTAGCAAAATGATCACACCTCGATCCGAAAAAAGAAGAAGATGGAATTAGAGAGATGTGATTCTAGCAAAAAGGATCACACCCCAATTCGAGAAGACGAATTTGGAGAGATCGTGATCCTAGAAAAGAATCAAACCCCAATTTGAGATAAAAGAAAAATCGAGGCGGCATATGATGTTGGGATCCTATTCAAGATTTTGGCAACAAAGTCAAATGACAAAGTTTGCGGCCCAACAGGCTAGCCTCAAATTAAAAATCCATCGCTAATGAAGCGTTGCTCAAAGTAGAAAGCCACGGTATGCAAAGCCGGACTCAAACAAAATATGGCAAAAAGTCTAGTCCAACAGTAAAGCCCACGGTACATTAAGCCGAGCTAAAATCAGAAAGGAAAAGATACCGCCTTCAAAAGTGTAGACAAGGCAAAAGACAAGTCAATTTAAAGAAAGCCACGGTATGTGAAGCTGGGCTCAAAATGAATAAGGCAGAAAACTGCCCTAATAACTTAAAACTACAACAGCAAAGTCAAGTCGTTAAGGTTTTGGCCACAAAGGCCTAACAGGCTGGCCTCAAATTAAAAAGCCATCGCGAATGAAGTGGGGCTCAAAATAAAAGCCACGGTATACATATTTGGGCTTAAAATTAAGGAGGCGAACTCCTCTTTCAAGAATCCAAGACTATGGCAAAAGAAGCCAAGTCCGTCAAAAACAAGAGAAGTCACGGTATTTGAAGTCAAACTAATCGTTCAAGAAGGCATGAAAGACCTTCCCAAAATTAAGATATAGGCAGCAAGCCAAATCCAAAAGGGGGAAGTCGCAGAAAGAAAAATTGTGCTCCTAAAGTACAATACACCTTTGCAAAAGGTTAAATCCATGCTAATAGAGATCTCGGTATGCGAAATCGAGCCAAATCTGGAACCACGACACTTAAAGTCAGGGAGTACAAAGTCGGGTTAATTATTAAGGAGGCACGAAATGCCATCCTAAAACTTAGGCGAACGCCTATATAAAAGACTGACAATAAGCCTAGTCAAAACTAAAGAGCCTCGGAAAGAGAAGCCGAGCTCAAAGTCAAAAAAATGCAAACACCACCTCACCACTCAGAGACTTCAAGAGAAAAGAAGCCAATATAAAAAGCTAAACCAAGAAGAGATAGTCGCACCAGACCCAAGGCAGGATCATAGTACCTCGGTAGGGTCGACCTATCAATCAGACTTAGACACCCCAGCAATTCGAGCTTCCGAACTGCCGGGCTGGGGGGCAACTGTTATGGACTGGATCTATATCCTAACAACCCTATTACTAGCAAGATTGAATAGAGATATCACAACTATATAATCTAGAGAGGATCAAGGGATAAGATCCATATCCCCATCAATCAAGACAGATTTCATATCAACTGGGAGATCTCAAAGGCCCAAACCTATGAAGGTAATTCTTATATAAGAGGCTAAAGACCCTAGGTACACACTTTGACCTATTTACTAATTTTTTTTTTTTTGGTGTGGTGACCTATTTACTATTACTGTCAACACTGTGCACACACCCACGTCTTGGCTATAAGCCTATTGCTTGTGCGCAGTGATTGAAGTATTGGCTATAAGCCAATCTAGATACCTATCTCTAGGGTATCTCTGAGCGCATACCATACGATAAAGTAATACAGTTCTCTAGGACTGAACAAATACAAAATATGAGTTTAAGTTAATATCATATAAATTGTGCAGAACCTCATTTTACCATAGATGACAAGCTCGAATGTATCGTTTCGATCTCCCATGCATGAAGATGATTAATATTAAATTTTATTGGTAGACCATGCAATTAGGATTGCCACATGATTAGTATTTTCCCATTATTTTTGTATTTGATTGTTCCAAATTATTTTTAATGTATTTTTTTGTAACCATTTTTAATGTATTTACTTGTCATTTTAAAGGCCACAATTATTCAGTTACATTTATTATTGATTATGTATCATAATTGGTTTTTTCTATTTACAAGATGGAAATTTGGGGGTAATATTGAAAATGTTTTTATTATCAAGGAAATTGATACAAAATTCAAATTTGGTGATAAAATTTACTTTATCTTTTGAACACATTAATTGATATTTATTTTAATTTATTTTTAAAAAAATTGTTATTACATTAATGTTACACAACAAGCATGATTAATGATTAGAATTGTCTTAATTTCAAAAAAAATTAAATGAACAAATTATGAACTACCATAAGAAATTTATAATAGTAAGTTAATACCACAAAAATTAATAGCTATTATTGAAATAACAATGACAATTTATTTATCACTATAAATTATTATAATATGATGATTAAATCATCATAATGATGTTATAAATATATTTGACGATTAAATCATAACTAATATTATAAATATCTATAACGATTTATTTTCATCATTATTTCTCACAGATATTTGTGACATCGTTTTTTGTCACAATAATCGACATTTTTAGTGTTGTCTGAAAATATTATCACTAAAACAAAAGTGATTTGAATATTAGGGATGAATATTGATGAAGTAAAATATCATTACAAAAATACGTTAGTGATGATTTTTACAACTTTTAATGATGATATATGTCATCACAAAAATTGTTAGGAATGAAGAGATATTTGTTGACTTCAATTTCGTCGATAATTTCATCAAAAATTTCATTTTCACTAAATTTTTATCATTTTTGACGAAATATTTTCGTCAAAAAAATAACAATTTTTAGTAGTGACGGGCTTTGCTCAAAAATTAGTTTCGATTTATCCAATCAAATTTGAGCTCAATTTGAGTTAGTCAACCTAAGCAAGGTTAATTTCTCTAACATATTTTAATTGTAATTTACTATAATTATTAGGTAATTGGCTGGTTCAATTCGACAATAACGCAGGAAAACAAACCTAGGAACAAGGCAAAGGGTAAGGCTTAAGCCATAACAATAAGAATTTGGATTTTATAAGAGTTATGTTGTAGAAAAAATGATTGTATAATGTTATAGAGATTCGTTTTGCGTGCCTTAATTTTTTATTTTTTATTTTTTGCTTTAAAAAGTGTGGGCTCCTCAAAATGTTGCGTGTGTAAAAAAGTTTTTGGGGTCATGTGACATAATAATGTAAATCCATTTGAATAATAGGCATTTTATTTTTATATTTTTGATAAACAAATAATAGGCATTTTAGTTGGCTTGTTTAAATTCAAAAATGGGATCGCAATCCAATCCAACCCAATCCCAAGTGATGTTATATTTATGCTCCTCTATTTAGAAGGAAATGGCCCAATCCAATTTTTTCTTTATGTTTTAAGGAAATGGGCCAATCCAATTTTTAATTTTTATTTTTTAAGGAAATGGCCCAATCCAATTTATTCCCTCCATATAACATGATAACTTTTCTCTCCTTTATTGAACATCTCAAACCATCTTTGTCATACATTCTCACATTGTAACTCCAATCTTAATTGAAAAAAATATTTATCCTTTTAAATAATACAACTTATATTTTTATTTTTACAAAGAGGTAAGATCCACACATTTATTTTTTTTTGTCAACTCTCTCTTCTTCTTTATCTATCTTTTTTTTTTTAAAATGACACAACTTTCTATTTTTTAAAATGACACACACTTTTTCCATTTTAATTAGATGATTCCTGTGTAATATTTAAGGAATTTACATCCATCATTTAAAATGATCACACCAACTTTTTCACACACAACATTTTGTGGGACCCACATGTTTTAAAGAAGAAAAAAAAAACTACGACACGCAAAACGAATCTCTATAACATAACATAATCATTCTTCCTACAACATAACTCTTATAAAATTCAATATTTAATGTCGTAAAGAATTATCTTATATTGATTGTAAATGAAAAGTATGATGGAAAAATAATAATTAGATAAGATAAAAGAACAATAGTCAGTAAAATTTGTATATTATGATTTCAAATCATTTTGCCACACACCCTGAGCTACCAAAATTGGGAAGTAGAAAGAAAAAAAAAAAAATAGTATTTTGATGCTCCATGACCATGCTTCTACTATGAGGAAAAGACATGAAACCCATCAAAAGAAGGAGAAAAAGAAGTAAACTTTGTAGAGTAGACATACCAGACGAACTGTTTCTTGCAACAGGGCTTCTTGGGAGTTGAATCGTCATCGTGAACTGTGTCTCCGGCCATCACAGAAGGAGCATCGCGGAGAAGCAGAATTACAACACAAAATACAACAATCAAGCTAATCTTCTCCGAAGCCACTCTCAACAAGATTTATGAATCCATTACCAACTCTCAGCTGAAACAAAGATAGAGAGAGAAATAGAAGGACCCTTGGCTGATGCGTCTTGGGTAATCAACTTTCGATTTTGTTCCATTTAAAAATAATAATAAAGACGTAAAGACATAAAAATCATTGATTTGTATGTGGAATAAATTTTTGAAGATAGAATTAAATATTTTGGTGAGATTTTTATTATTTTTCTTGGTACGTTTCAGTATTTTTCATGATAATAAATTTATAAAATAAGATTATCTCTCAACTCAGCCTAAAAAATAGATAAAGAGGTGATTCACAGTTTATTTAATAGGAAGGAAGTGAAGCTAATTCTTAATATACCATTCCCATGTTAATTTCATGACGAAAGAAACATATTTTATATGAAAGATAAATGGAAACTGTATTAGGGTAATCAAACACAATATTTATCCCATTTAATAGGATATAACAATTATATATGTTCCATAGTCATCCTCCTTGATGGATCAAAAGACTCTGAAAATTATAAATTTCACCTAGAGTCATAATATTCATGTGCTAAGTATCACAATAATTCCTTGATACATGCCCAATTTCTTAAACAGGTGAACAGACATGTTAATCTAACACAAGCTAAAATACATGGGAAACTGTTGTGGGAACACAAATTTAAGCAGTCAATAATACCGAAGAGCAAAATAATTAATTTATAAATAAATTTTTATAAAAATGTTAATATAATCTATATATAAATATATGAAATCAAATTATATTGATTAAACTGAACTTTTATATTTATTAAAAAAATGTTTTATAAACATTATTCTGAATTCCAGAGATATTCTATGCACAATATACTGATGAATAAGAATAAGAAAAAGATGCCAAGACAAGAAAAATCTTGACTTTCATGGAAGGTAAAGGTAAGACGTACACTCTGACTTGAAAAATAAAAAATAAAAAAGAAAAGAAAAGAAAAGAAAAGAAGAGGAAGTTGCATGAAAGCAAAACTAGACCTTAGACATGCATATGAAGTTATAGAGAAAAAATAGGACAATGACCCGGGAACATGAAAAGCGAATAAGAAGACCAACGGATGAGAGATTGCGCTTTAAGTGGAATGGAAATACCAAAATTGATGGTTTGTTAACTATTGCTACACTCAGGCCTTCTTTCTTGTGCTCTAGTGGCTTGCACAACACAAATGTTAACAACCCTCCAATTCCATTAGCTAAATCAAGAAAAACTTGGGAATATATATATAAAAAAAAGGAGAATCAAGTAGTACTTGGTATTGATTAGCTGTGTCATCTTGTGCATGCAGATTAACTAACTGATATATGGTTTTTGAATCTTCATTTGAATTGGCACTTAACTCTGTTCTCTTTGTCCACTTCTTAGTCAAGTTTTCTTTTATGTTAATCCCTATATATAATAATATAGTCTGAATATCTCACCAAGACAGTGATTCTCACTGAGAATTAATTGATAGGCATATAAAAAAAAAGTGAGGCAAAAATGGCTGGTGGAGGATTTGCTGATGCTGGGACCCTCAAGAGGGCTCATCTTTATGAGTCCAAGATTACTGGATTTTTCATCTTTTCTTGCATTGTTGGAGCTCTTGGTGGATCTCTATTCGGATATGATCTTGGTGTTTCAGGTGAGTTTTATGTTAGAGATATAATAAAATCATTCGCGTGTCTTTTCTCAACGGCTTAAGCTTTTGGAAAAGTTTAGTTTGATCCATGACATTCTACTATCTTGGTGTCTCTCATTTAAAATTAAACCATGATGTTGAAAGGTGACATGCTGAATTCTTTGATCACTTGTTCAAAAATCTTATGAGGGTATGAATAATATTGCTTGATAATTACAGGTGGAGTTACCTCCATGGATGATTTCCTCATAGAATTCTTCCCACAAGTGTATGAGAGGAAGCATGCACATCTTGCAGAAACGGATTATTGTAAATATGATGATCAACTATTGACACTCTTTACATCATCTTTGTACTTTGCGGCGCTTGTGTCAACATTTGGTGCTTCAAGTCTAACAAAAAACAAAGGCAGGAAAGCAAGTATTTTAGTTGGTTCCGTAAGCTTCTTTATTGGAGCTGTTCTCAATGCTGCTGCCAAGAACATTGCCACGTTGATCATTGGGCGTATCCTTCTTGGTGTTGGCATTGGATTTGGTAACCAAGTAGGTTTAACCATATTGATACAAATGTGATATAAAATCTTTCATGTTAAGTTTTTTTTTGGAACATATTATCATGACAACATAAATGAGAGAGTTGGATTGCGACACATATCTTCAAAATATGAAAAAAAGAAACTGTTATTCCCACAAAATAAAAGGGTATCACCAATTTTACTTGCATTGTTTTTCTAATTATTGTGCAGGCTGTTCCTCTGTATCTTTCAGAAATGGCTCCAGCAAAAATCCGAGGAGCAGTGAACCAACTCTTTCAGTTAACAACATGTTTGGGAATTTTAATAGCTAACCTTGTGAACTATGGTACCGAGAGACTTCATCCTTGGGGATGGAGGTTATCCCTTGGTTTAGCCACAGTTCCAGCAACTTTAATGTTCATTGGAGGTTATTTGTGTCCAGAGACACCAAACAGTCTTGTTGAACAAGGACGAATTGAGGAAGGAAGAATAGTATTGGAGAAGATTAGGGGCACCCCTAATGTTGATGCTGAATTTGATGATCTTCTTGAGGCTAGCAGAGAAGCAAAATCTATCAAGAACCCTTTCCAGAACCTCCTCCTAAGAAAGAACAGACCCCAATTAATAATTGGTGCTTTGGCTATTCCAGCATTCCAACAACTAACTGGCAACAACTCCATCCTCTTCTATGCACCTGTCATTTTCCAAACTTTAGGCTTTGGCTCTGGGGCAGCTCTATATTCATCTGTTATCACCAGTGTAGCACTTGTTCTTGCCACTCTTATCTCAATGGCTTTTGTTGACAAGTTTGGTAGGAGAGCTTTCTTTTTGGAAGCTGGTGCTGAAATGATATTCTGCATGGTATAAACTACATCTTTCATACATAACTTTTGTCCTTAAAACTCATATAACACAAATGAAATAAAAAACATAACATGATATTTGTTGAGATATATAAAATCATTAATGTAGTTTCACTCAATAGCTTAAGCTTTTGGGTTGAATTGGTTCTTTACATGGTATCAGAGTCTCGTGTCCCGGGTTCGATCCTTGTCGCCCCCCACTTTCTTTCAAGTGGAATTTCTTTGTTCACACAGGTAGGTGGCCCTGTGCATTGTTCACCCTTCAAGCCCAGTGGGCTCTCGTGTGAGGGGACGTATGGAGATATATAAAACCATTAATGTAACCTCACTCAATAGCTTAAGCTTTTAGGTTGAATTGGTTCTTTATAGTATTCATTATCATATTTTGTTACTAGTTTGAGGGGGTTTTTTTTGTTTCAATCTGCAGATTGCTACAGCTTTGGTTTTGGCTTTTGCATTTGGAAAAGGCAAACAACTTTCATTTGGTGTTGGTTTATTTCTGGTTATAGTGATTTTCATATTTGTTTTAGCATATGGAAGATCTTGGGGTCCCTTGGGGTGGTTGGTTCCTAGTGAGCTTTTCCCATTAGAGATAAGGTCATCTGCACAAAGTGTTGTGGTGTGTGTTAACATGATCTTCACTGCACTTGTGGCACAATTCTTCCTTGTATCACTTTGCCACCTCAAATATGGAATCTTCTTGCTGTTTGGGTTCTTAATTTTCCTTATGAGCTGCTTTGTCTACTACCTATTGCCAGAAACCAAGCAAGTTCCAATAGAGGAGATTTATCTTTTGTTTGAGAGACACTGGTTTTGGAAGAAAGTAGTAGCAGCAGAGTCTGGCACACCATTATAAGCCAAAATCTCAAATCTTGTTCTTTATATATGTTGTGATTCAAGTTGAAGAATTTGATTATATTTTTTTCTCAATGTACTGATACTCTTTTGACATCACTTATTATTTTTTCAATTCTTGTCCATCTATCTTTATAATGCTTAGTAATGTGGAAATTTTTGTGTTGTCCTCTGGATTGTTCCAAACTTGGAATTGATGAGAGGAAAATCACAAAAAGGGATAATCACAAAATCGTAATACTAGAGAAACAAACTAAATATAAAGTTCTTATAAAGGACAAATGTAATGTTCTACTAGCACTTTTTTTTAAGAAAAAGATAAAAACATATAATATGTTAAAACCATACAGAGCTTCTTTGGATCCTCTCTTTTTTAAGTTAGAAGCTACTTATAAGCTAATGCTAAAAAAAAAGAGTTTAACAAAAAAAGTTAAAAGCTGTTTGGTAATTACATAAAAAATTTAGCTTAAAAACACATATTTCAAGAAAATTATCTCTCTCTAACTTTATAACTCTTCATTTTAAAAAAAAATACACATTTCAAGGAAAGCAGATAAGAGTTTAATAAAAGGAGGAGCTTTTAATTTTTATTATAAGAGCTTTTCTCAAAACTTGTTTGGTCTAACTTATGCTTATAAGTAGCTTCTAGCTTAAAAAAAAATAAATACACACATACATATAATCTTTCTTTCTTTTTTTTTTTTTTGTAAAAAGATTAGATATGCATGTATCTTTGACTCAACTACGTTAGGTTTTTTATATTTTAGTTTTTGATACATAAATGATTTTTTTTCTTGGTTTATTTTATATTTTTAACATAATAATTTCATTTTAGGTATTTTAAATAGAATGAGGTAATAAAATACTAATTCATTTCAATCTTTATATTTGCCTAACTACTCATTTAATATGTAAATTTAACAAATCTAATTTCAATATGTTAAATCGTTTAAACCAAAGGGGGTTGGCTCAAGTTGTACACGTTTGATTCCTTTTAAGCAAGGTTTTAGGTTCAATTTTTTGTGAATACAAAAAAATTTATTTAAAAAAACTAATTCTATCGTAATATGAATATTCTCGATTCGAATAGGATTACTTTCACTGAAATTCAGTACAGGAAGGCTATGGTTTTCATTGGTATAATAACTTAGAAGAATAAAATAATAATTTATAAAATTATTGGTCCCATATCACATTTTGAAAAATTAAGCTATCACAACATGAGCACTGGCAAATTTCTATGATAATTCAATGGATTGCTCAATAAAGAATAAAAATATTAATTAAATAATAAAATAAAGAAATTATTGAATTAAAAATTTAAAAGCATTACATTTTTTAAAATAAATCAATAAAATAACTAATAAACATTAAATATTTTTTAATTAGTATATTTATACACTACACATCAGCAAGATTCATACATATATATATATATATATATATATATATATATATATATATATATAGTTTAGCGGATATACACTGACTGTACTTAAGGATTGGTGCACTGATATAAAATTATATCATTTTATAGTGTGAAAATATTTAATATGAGAAATCATAAACATACAAATATAAAATTATGTCATTTTATAGTGTGAAAGCATTAAATATTGGGAATCATAACCATACAAAGATGTAAGTAAATATAAAATATTAAATATAAGGAATCATAATGATGCAAAGGTGAAAATAAATATAATATTTCTATTTTCTACAATTAATTCTAAACGCGAACTTTCTTTATTTCATCCAAAACGACGTAGTTTCTATGTGATTGCACCAATGTTTATATACAGTCACGTTACAAATCATTTTGCCATATATATATATATATATATATATATCCTCTCTTTCCAATGTTTCTTAATTTTAGTGATGAAATTGCTAGGAAACGATTATTGACAGCGCACTGTTAAGTGTCTTTTGTTTTGGTTTATTGAATTCAAATTGTAATATTACAGATTTCCATAAATCGGTAATTTTGTGCATCTAACCCATAAGAAGCTCAAGGTGCATTTGATTTGCTAAAATTTAAAGGACAACTCAGCTCAAAATGAGTTGTATTTTATTTTGTCCTATTTGTAAAATTGATAAAGTACTGGACAAAAGAACTGTCAATTGACAACTCAAAACATCTATTTTTTTTTTAGGGAATATAATTTCTGATGTTATATTACACAACTTGTTTCATGCAAATTTTAAAAAGTGAATAGAACTCATCAACGAGAAGAGAGAGAAAAAAAGTGAATCTCATCCTTTTTTTTTATGTATTGTATGAGACAAAAATTTCATGCAATATGAGAAATTATATTTCCATTTTTTTATATTATTCATTTAATCAGGTGCAAAAATTTTGTGAGTAGAAAAAAAAAAAAAGGAAAAAAAACAAATCTATTCTTATCACTTCATGACACTCGAGCATTTAAATATAATCACCCTTTACTGATTTTCCTTTTAGTTTCAAGTCTCATATTTAGTACATATAAATTAATTACTTTATGTTTTTTATATTCAGATTATATATTGTTTTCAGAGATTTGGTCCTTTTCCTTTAGTCTTCAGTATTTTCCCTGACATTTAATGGGTATTAATTTTAATTATATCTATGTATGTGTTGTGAAAATAAAGTGTGAAATAGGAATGCGATCAAAGTTGAATTAACCCTAAAATTTCTTGCAATTATGATTTAAATATAAAAACGCATGCTATAACTATCAAATAATTATAAAGAAGAAAAATAAAGAACATATTAATTGCATAACATTAAAAATTGAACATTAAATTGAAAGAAAAAAGTAGATAATATCAAAAACCCATTGGTTCCATCTAAAACCCTAACTATAGGAAAACCTAACTTGACATCGTGAAGAGAACTAAAACAAAAGATGAAAAAGTAGAGAAATCCATAAAAGAAACTTGATAACCAATCTCCACGATGAAGCTTTGACCCTTCCTTCAACTCCTTGTCCAAGAACAAGGTCTTTTCTTTCCTTAGGTCATAGAAAATCAAATGCATTTGCCTTGTTTCTTTCCCTTTTTAATAAAAAAGATCCATAAACTTTTTTACAATGAGGCTCGCTGAAGCGAGAAACTTAGCAAAGAAATACATACCAATTGCCTTCTTCTAGGTTTTGCTCGCTAGGTTGCTCGCTTGAGCAAGTTGTTGCACGAAATATCATCCTTTGTACTTGTTCGTTGTAGCGAGCAAGCCAGCGAGCATAACTTGGCTTGAATGTCTCTCCTTCCAGTTTCCTTAACCAACCTTTGCTCCATTATATCAATTTTAACTTGAAATCAATACAATTTTTCGTAAATATTTTACCGAGCACAAAAACTAAAAATATATTTTACATCTAATAATATTTACCATATCTTTAACCGTATTTAATAATATTTAGCATACTGTTGACCCTAAAGACATAATATATTTGACATTTAACGGTATGTTAATATGAACTATTGATGAGTTACATGAATTTTTTTATTCTTCTTTAGTTTTGAATCTTTTAAACATATTTAGAATCACATTAATTGCTTTAATTTATTTCTATGTTAAAAATATGAGTTTTCTTAACTCTTAAGAGAATTTAATTTTTTTTTATTAAATCTTAAAATTACTGAAATATAAAAAACAATAAATATGTTTTAGTCTTAAATGCATTAAATGTTTAACTTTTTATAATTTGTTATTTTTAAATACATATTTAACATTTAAAAAAATCAAAAGATGAAATTAAGTAGAATTAATGATTAAGAGTCTGACTTTTTTACAATAAATTACTTATTTATTGATATCAAGATTTACCGATTGATTAATGATCGATCCAATATATGGACATATCATAATTAATTTGGGGTTTGGTATTTGTCATTTTAAATGACATAAGTTATGTCATTTTAGAAGAGAGGTAGACACAGAAAAACAGAAATCATGGGAGAGAGAAAGTGAGTGGTTTTTTTAATTTAAAATTTAAATTTTCTGTGTCTATATCTCTCGTAAAATGACATAACTTTTTGTCATTTAAAATCACAAACATTTTTCCTATTAATTTGATTTGATTGATTTTATTGGAGTATAAGAAGAAGATTCACAATAGCTTGTGGACCACACCTCGGGGTGAATATATGCGTTATTGTGCAAGACTACGCACTTCATACAAATTTCCTCTCCATATTACGTTTCCTTTGATTTGAAGCCAAAGATGAAGCCTCTTCATTGTTCTTGGTGAGTGCATCTACACTACTCCTCTTGCTATCTTCACAAAATCGCCATTCCTTTCAAACTCCAGCTAAAGCTTTTGTTATTGGTTTGTTATTATATATAAAGGCTTTATTAATCTCCATCAACATAAGAGAAGATATCTCCTACCACTCTTACAATCATGTGGTGGAATCCACATAATTATAAAAAAATAAAAAAAAGCTCAAATAACGATGTCTGTGCTGGAAATTAAATCCATCTTCTGTGGTTGAAGATTAATTTTTCCCTATATATAATTCGTCTCTTTCTTGCCTTCTTGTAATTCAATTCGAATTTTTTTTTCTTCCAAAATTGAGTTTTTTTATATGATGCACGTAGAATTGGCTTACATAACGATATCTTCCTGTTCTGAATTCAGAATGGGCTCAAATTTGACTTGCTGCATCGAAACTAGCCATTGATCAATTATAATTGACAAAAAAAAAACTTTTTCTTTTCAATTTGAATTTTATATTTATTTCGATTTTTTGGGTTTTTTGTTTATTATTATTATTATTTTTTTGATGATTTTATATGTTTATATCTTTAGAAGATCTAAATCTAAAATGATTGGATTGAGTATCAATTAGATTTAAAATTGAATAAAATTATCTATTTACTAAACAATTATTTATTTATTTTGAGATATACTTTTCGAGAACTTTCATTCTAATTGAAGGGATATGATATTGTGACAATCAAATAATGTTACTACCAATGTTACTATCACATCTTAACCGTTGATTTCCGCCAATCAACGGTTATCATTTATTGCGAATTAATAATTAATTAATGAGTTTGATTTGAAAAATGATAACCGTTGATTGGCGGAAATCAACGGTTAAGATGTGGTAGTAACATTATTTGGTTGTCACAATATCCTATCCCCTAATTGAATTGATGACAAATGAACAATGATTTTCCCCTCTTTGTTTCTCTTTGCACCTGCATTCATGTTCTTTATCATAGTAACATGGGTTTCATGGTTTTGTTATAATTTTTTTGTTCAACGTTCTGAGAGCAGGTGTTGATTTTGCGAAGTGATCATATAATTCAACATGGGTGTAATTTTTTTTTTTGAATAATCTCAAGGGTATCTTTTAATTGTAATTGAAGACTAATCCTTATCGAGCATTATGGAATCCATTCAGGAGCTGCTTCCTCAAATTCTTTTTCTCCATTTCCAGGGCTCTAATTCGAAATCTCTGGTTAAGAGGCTCAGGCTCTTTACCACCTGTGCCGAAGGAGTTTGGTAACATGGATGTAATTAACAGTAATGAAAACGACATTGTCACATGCAATGAAGTCATGGTACAAAATGAATATCCAAGTACTGAAGATTCATCAAATGTCACGTCAAGCAACAACGACGACGATGTTACAAAACATCCAGAGCAGATTAAAACAAAGGAATGTTTGGTGCAGCGAAGATTTAGCCTTAGACTTCAAAATCGGAAGGACAATGGCAAAGATAATAAAAAGAGATCAATGAGTGATAACAATGGGAACAATTTTGATCCGAAGAGAGCAAAGATTGAAGTAGGTGAAACATGCATAAGCGATACAAGCTCTCCCTCTAGTGATTTTCTTCATGTGTTTGATGAATTGGACTTCAGGGGCGTTCTAATGATAAAAGAATCGTTGAGATCTTTCAATCTCCATAGACTTGAATCTTCTCAGGTAATAAAATTAATTTGCACATTATTTATATAATCGTTTGTGTTCTTTATTAGTTCTTGAAGTATAGAAAAAAAAAGTCGTATTTCCTTTCCTATTTTATTTATTTATTTGGCAAAATGTGACTACGTGATGTCTTTTTCAATTGGTTTCTCTAATACTGTCCTACAGGTAGAGCAGAGTAAATCCAAGAAGCTGGATAAGAGGGATGCCAAACTTTTAAGGACTAAGGTAAGCCTTTTAAGAACAATTTTTCCTAAACTCCAATTAGAAATTGTGTAAAATGTATTTCTTGAAACTTACTATTTTTTTTTCAGCCAGGAAGATTTTGATTAATTCACTTTGAGGTGTATTAGTTGATAAATTTTCTTTCATTGATGTGCTTTTGAGTGAAAACACAAGCCGAAATATGTTTGTCAGCCATGATTCTGTTCTCCATTGATTCATAGTTTTATTTTTATAGTGAGACATATATAATTCCATAAGCTTTGTGGAATGGGCATCTATATATTCTTGTATCTACCTGACACATACCTGATCTTTATTTTTGTTTTGAGTCTCCTAACCGGTTAATCCTTTTGGACTAGTTCGGTTCGAGTACTGTCAAATCCTATAGAGGGGGCAGCTTCCTAAGACCTTTTTTTTCATTCTCACGGTTCTAATTGATCTTTATTTTTGTTTTTTGAATTGGGGTATGCCATCATTTCAATCTGCTTATGTTGTAGTTAGGCCGATTGAAAAAGCAATGGTGATAACATATTAACGAATATTTGTAAATGGTTTGAGAGATTCTTCAGCAAATTATTTTATTTATTTAAAATTTATAATCATTAATTATGAAAATAAGAAATTGCAATCCCTAGTCTATCTGATATTGTGAAACATACAAATCAAATTATGGTTTTTGATTTGATTTGTATGTTTCCTAACGTGGGATTGTAATTTCCTATTTCCCATAATTAGTGATTGTAAATTTTAGATAATAAAATAAGAGTGCTGAGAAATTTCTCAAAACATTCATAAATCCTTGTTAATATGATCGATTAATTATTGAAATTATTTTCATTTTAGTTGCGACCCTTTTACGATAGAGAGGGTACCAAAGTTTTAATTGTTGGGAGTGTATTTGGATTTGATTTATGTTTGAGATTCCTTTGATGAAGATATAAATTTGTCTTGTATGTTGAAAGTAGGGTTGGCAAAACGGGCCAACCCGACTCAACCCGACCCAACCCGCGTACCCGAAAAAAAAGAGCTGGGTTAGGGTTGACTTGAAAAATAAAAGAGCCAGAAAACTCAACCCAACCTGACTCGAGTCGGGTTAGGGTTGGCTCGAAAAATAGAAAAAAATAAAATTCCATTGATGCTATAACTTCTAATTTTTTTTCCTAAATTATTAATTCATTCAACACAAAGGCATTATACAGATAAACCATAGAAAATTTTGCATTTGGACTTGGACTTATTGGCAGTTGACACCACATTCACACTGTCACACATACTATAAAAAATGTCCTTAATGCACGGTTTTGGACTTATTGGCAGCTGCAGGGTATTTTTGTTTGGGTTTTTGGATTTGGAATTTTAGGTTTTAACTTTCCACTTTACCTTCAATAATTTTTATACTTTTATATTAAAAAAAAAAAGCATAACCCGCGAGCCAACCCGTTTGACCCGTGAGTTAACTCGATTTTTTTCGAGTTGAAACGAGTCGGGCTGACTCGAGTTACTAACTCATTTTTCCTAACCCAACCCGGCTCATTTTAGCCGGGTTACGAGCCAACCCGATGGGTTGACTCATTTTTGCCAAACCTAGTTGAAAGGATAATAGAGAAAGACTAGAGGAGTTGGAAGTTTTCAAATAACTTGCCATTAACCTAAAACTTTCTATTTCTTTTAGGGATAGGATATTGTGACACCCAAGTTATGTTACACCCATGTGACACCCAGTCAGTCTCACCGTTAGATCGCTTATGTTGATCCAACGGTTATATTTACTTCTATCTTTGTATGGTCATGATTTCCCAAATTTAATATTTTATATTTATTTCTACCTTTGTATGCTTATGATTTCCCATATTTAATGCTTTCACTTTAAATTTGAGAAATCATGACCATACAAAGATGGAAATAAATATAACCGTTGGATCAACATAAGCGATCTAACGGTGAGATTGACTGGGTGTCACAATATCCTATCCCTTTTTTTTAAAACAAAATCTTCCTATTTTTTAGGTAAGATTTGGCCAAAGATATTTTGTTATTATTATTTTGCATAAATTTTTGGGATAGACTATTTTATCTTCTTTTTTTTTTTTTCTACCAATTTTCAACACTATCAGATTATAATCTCAATAAGAGAGAAATGATAAAGGTAGTTAATATTCTGATGTAACGGTGTTGAAAAATGGTTGGCAAAGGTAAGCATAAATAAAGAGTAGGTAGAATAACTCATCTCTAGATTTTTAAGTATCTTTATGTTGAAATTATAAAGATTTAGATAGAGAAGAAAGAAAAGGGATAATAAAAAATGGGATAGGTTATTCTACCTATCATTTTTAAGATGATCTTAACTAATTTTTATCTTTCTCTCTCCTCTTGAGATTTTGATCTAACGGTGTTGGAGAGTGGTAGGTAAAGTTAGGTAGAATAACTTATCCCATAAAAAATTGATATTGATTTAAGGGTAAAGGATTTCTTCAGTCAATGGAGATAAGTTATCTTCGGTGAGCTTAAAACGACATCGTTTTGGGATGGAAATCAAGTGTTTTTATAATTTTAATATATTGCAGGGTTATATTAATCTTTATCATTATAATTTTTCTCACTGGAGATAACTTTATCTTCTTTGTTTGCCAAGAAGATAACATCAGTTTTTTTACGTTTCATAATCAATCTAAATTTTAACCATGCAGTTTTCAGTGTTTGCCATCAGTTTTTTTCACGAGCAGAGATCTAGGGTTTCATTAAAGTTGAATGAATAGAGTATATGGGAAAATCTCATGTGAAGTTGGACAGTGATGATTTTATGTCATCATGAGTTGTATTTATTCTTCGAATATCCGTAATAGATGCATCTCTGCATGCAGGACTTGTTTTGTTGAACTCCTAATGAACTTTTGACATGTGAATTGGATTTTCCATTTGTGAAGATTAAGATATATTGTAATTGAAAATCATAGGTCCACTCCTGTGTCAGATCGATCATGTCAATATTTATATTGGAATAATGTTACTAATTAAGTTCATTTGTTGATCTTTCTAGCTACATAAAAGCGTGGAGCAATCTATAAATAGATTATATATACACATTAATTTGTGGAAGACACTTGCAAATTTATTGCTTCAACTGAAATCTTAATCTATAATATTAATGAAATAGTATAATGATACATGTAATGTTATATATGGTCTTGTGCATTCAATAATCAATTATTCATTGTCTAGGATGTTGATAAAAATTGGGCTGAGAAAGGTTTTCCTACAAGCACAGGGTGTAAGTATCTTTTAAAGCAGCTTCGGAGACTGGCCAAATTGGGTAATGATAAGGTTGTAAGTTTTATATATGCTTAATTGGTTCTATCAAGTTTATCGTACAATGCATGTGTTTCATACATTTATAATTTTAAGAAACAATTCTAGGAAATAATTTTTCAAAACACAAATAAACAAAAACAGAATCAAATTGACCTTAGCTTCCTCTCAAAAAACTTCTTACTCTTCACTTCTAAATTGTTGTCACCAAATGGATTCTGTTGATCATGTCTGTGGCTTCAGAACTTTATATAGTGTCATTTGTACTTCAGCTTTCTTTTTTGTCTTTATTCACTTTCATGCTACTTTTCTTTTTGGCTTATGGTTGTATTGTAACATTTGGTTTTGCTTCTTATGTTAGGTACATTTGACTCGAGGGCAAGTATCCAGTGCTTCTGAATATCCATGGTATGCTATCGGCTAAACTCTTTAGAGAAGAAGTGTAATAGGTTCTTTTAATCTGCATTAAATTTGTAACTAAGCTCATGTACATATGGTTTTCTTAGTTTGGTTTGCAAGGACCTTAGCAATGGACAAGAAGCCATTACCATTCCAGTAACTAATGAATATGATGATCCCCCCATTGCACCTGAGGGTAAGTTTAATCATCAACTAGCCATTTTAGTTTTTTAGTAGCAAGTTCTGCTTGAGTAATAAAAGTTCTTCAAAGTAATTGCATTGCACTTTAGCATTTAAAATAGGGATTAATAATTTTATCTCCATACACATATAACAGTGTGTGGAGTCCATGTTGTCTTTTTTCTCTCTCTTCTCCTTACATGCTTCACATGAGGCTCACACACTTTGTATAAGTGTGTGTACAAAAGTGTGTGTAAGAGATAAAATTATCTCATATAACATGAGAAACTATAAACCCTTTAATATATATATATGTGTGTGGGGGGTAGAATTCTTTGACATCAGTGTTAAATTTAAAATTTGACACCTCATCTAAGAGCCATTAGATCGAAAAAGATCAACGACTCTGATTTATAAGCATATGACACCATTGATCTTTTTTTATCTAATGACTCTCAGATGAAGTATCAAATTTTAAATTTGACACTGGTGTCAAAGGATCCCACCCCTATATGTGTGTGTATGAATAATTGGTTGACTAGAACAATTGGAGTTTATTTTATGACTTTCTAAGATAATAATCTAGTTCCATCTTTATAATTTTCTATGATTTAATTTGATATTATGTGTGTGTTTTTTTTCCTTGTATTTTCATTTTCTCTCCTATTTTATTTGGGGAAATGTAATTTGTCTAATTACTCACTTGGAGTTTGCATTAATATGATGTTTTAAATTTTAGGGTTTGCATATACCACATCACTTCAATATGCAAGCAACGTTAAAGTTCCCTCTAGTGACAAAGATTGCAAGTGCAAAGGAAGTTGTAGAAATATGAGTACTTGCTCTTGTGCTCTTCGTAATGGCTCCGAGTTTCCATATGTTGTTGGTCGGAAAGGTTGCAGGTGATAGTTTATTTTTCTAATAAAATTAATCTTTCTTTACCTTCCAAAAATCTTCATTTGTATTTGATTTTCAATCTTCTAAAGTCCTTTAACACACTTTATTGGCTTATTCATATTCAGATTGATGCAGCCTACAGATATTTTGTATGAATGTGGTCCAAGATGTGGACCTAATTGTGACAATAAAATAACTCAAAAGGGTTTGAGTTATAAGCTTGAGGTATATCATCCAAAACTTCTATGCCTTTTTATTAATTATTGTGTGATCCTAAAAACAATTTCTTTGCACAGGTTTATAGAACTCCCAACAAAGGGTGGGCAGTTAGAACATGGGACTTCATTCCTTGTGGTGCACCTATTTGTGAATATTTTGGTGTTGTTAGAAGAAATGAAGATTTGGAGTTGGAGAGTGCTCTAGGGAATGCTTTTATATTTGACATTGATTGCTTACATACAATTAATGAGGTAGATGGACGGGAGGTAAGAATACAATTATTATTTGATTTGAATTTTTTTAGTTTTTTTATTTTAGATTGAATTGTTATCTGTGTCTGTATCTCTCTTAAAATGACATAACTTTCTGTCATTTAAAATGACAAACACTTTTCCCTTTTTTTAATATATATAACTTGCATTGCTGTAAACTTGGTGGGGGTTTGAAATGCCCTTATTATAATCAAAATGGGTCCCTCGGATGTACTGTTGTAGGATATTCTGAAGAAAAAAAAAACAATTATATATTACGGATAGTACATGGTTATAATATTAAATTTTTTTATATCTCTTATAATTATGTACTACTCATAATATATAGTTATTTTTTTGTTACATGAATTCCTGCTAACATGATTCTTATATTTCCCAATCAAAATATGGAATCAAATAGCCATGGTATATCCTTCTTAGGATTGGTTTAGTGTAAGAGTATATTGTGATCTCCTTGTTCAGTTGTGATAAATATCTGATTAGTGTTTGAAAAAGATTTTATTACATTACTTGGAAGGGTGATATTAGTTGATTTTTCCAATGATCTTTTTCTTTTTCTCAGAGAAGGTTGCGTGATGTATCATTGCCGAGTAACACTTTTGTTGAAAAAAGAAATGAAGTGACAACAGAAAATGAGCCCGAGTTCAGCATAGATGCCAACTCTTTTGGGAATGTTGTTAGGCTCATAAATCATAGTTGTGATCCTAACCTCTTTGTTCAATGTGTTCTGAGCTCTCACCATGATATCAGACTAGCTAGGATAGTGTTATTTGCGGCACAAGACATACCTCCTTACCAAGTAAGGATCTTATTTGTGCTTTTCTTTTTCTTTTTCTTTTTTATAGAGTTTGATGTTTCTTATATTGTAGGAGATAAAATTATTTCTACCTATACATAAAAGTACGTGCGGTCATGTGAAGAGAAAAGAAAGAAAAAAATAAACCCCACACACTTTAAAGTGTGTATAAGATATTAAAGGCTTTTTTATATTATACAAATATGATGAAAGTTATATTCACAATTTTTTTTTTTTACAAACTTACAAATTACACTATGTTTTATTGGTAAGACTTCATTCAAGAGTGTCTTACGGATAAGACATAGTGCAGTTTATAAGAATTTATAAGTAAAAAATTTGTAAATATAACATTTCCCTATAAGTATATAATATTTATCATTATTTTTTATTTGTTCTTACTTTTATATAAATTCATTGATGGCCCAAATTATCACCAAACTAATTTGGAATAAAGATGATTATCTACTAGATAATTACAATTTTTACCTCATAATATATTTCTTATGTAAGATGGAATATGGATTCATTGCAATCTTGACTAAAGGGTGGGATATGGATTCATTGCAATCTATTAAAATGAAATCATGAAAAACTCTGCATTAACATATATAATCCATTATGTCACAATTCGAACATCGTTGCAATGCTATGATTTAATGCTTTCTAATTAATGATTTTCTTAATTGTTGGGTACATGCATCATGTTGATACTTGATTTCTTTTGGGGGATACCTTTCTTTGGAATGATAAAAGTGTTATTGTTTTGACAGGAGCTCACATATGATTATGGTTATATACTTGATAGTGTTGTTGGTCCTGATGGAATACCTAAGCAGTTACCTTGTTACTGTGGTGCAGCTGATTGTCGCAAGCGCTTATACTAGTTTGCTATACACAACACATTACATCTGTTTGATTTAAGAATAGACTTTTTCGAATTCCAATTGCATGAGAAGTAGAAACAATATCACAAGTGGGATCTGCAAGTAAGAAGAGAAAAAAAAAAATAGAGATGAGATTTATCTCTATTTTGTATGTGTAAGAGTTTGACTTCTTAGGTGTAAAATGAGAGAAATATAAACTTTTAATATTTTGTATGCAATTTTCGTTCCGTACCAAACCCAATTAAATTAATTTTGGGTGAAGGTGACGTTGTTGTTGTGGTTAAATTTTTATTGAGAATTTGGAGTTTAGGGGTTCCTCTACCTGTTCAAATTGTACATAATTATTAACTATTATGGAAACAACAATCTTATTTCGTTTCGTATGGTATCAAAGTGACGTTGTCGTTGTCGTTGATGTTGAATTTTTATGGAGAAATTAGGGGTACTCTCTTGTACAAATTGCGCATAACTATTAATCAATATAAAAATAACAATATTATTCTGTTTTTTATGATATTGCCAATGCCTAGTAATTAATCATAATTGAAAAGAAAAGAAAAATAGGAACACTGACTAACTGTCACGATTTTAGCAATTTTTTACCAATATTTTACCATGAAGTTCACAACAACTTGTAGCGAATTTGGTAGTCAATGATTTTGTGACACGTGACACACTTTCGCAAGAAAAGCTGACTGCCATGTGTCCAAATTCCCTACGACTGGTAGCGAATTTGGTAGCCAAAGATTTTGTGACACATGACACACTTTCGCAGGAAAAGCAGACTGTCACGTGGCACACTTTTGTAGGAAAAATTGACTGGACTAAGTTCACTACTAGGGCTAGCGAACTTGGTGCGCTATGTGGCACAATCTTGTTGCCCGATAAGAATTAATGTAGCAATCACAATCAAAAAAAGAAAACGAAGAAAAAGAGCTATTTAATTAATGTACCAATCACAATTAGTGTACCGATGGGATTAACTTTTGATTGTACCTATATATTAATGTACCAATCACCAATCACTTTGGAAGGCCATAACTTTTGATTCGGATATTAAAATCAGATGATTTTTTATTTTATTTCACATACTTTTCAAAATCTACGCAATGAAGCCTAATTTGACATATTTTATCTATTACAAACATCGTTCGAATTTATAACAATGACATCACAAATAATTAATGTATCAATCACCAATCATAATTAATATACCAATCAAAATTAATTGTGATTGGTACATTAATTATAATTAGTAATTGATACATTAATTGTGATCAAAATTAAATGTTATTGGTGATTGGTACATTAATTAAATAATCATTTTTCTTCATTTTTTTTTAATTGTGATTGGTACATTAATTCTTATTAGGCAACGAGTTTGTGCCACATGGTGCACCAAATTCGCTACCCCTATTAGCGAACTTAGTCCAGTTTTCTTTTCCTGAAAAATGTGCCACGTGTCATGAAATTATTAGCTACCAAGTTCGCTATCAGTCGTAGCGAACTTGGACATGTGCAGTCAACTTTTCCTGCAAAAGTGTGTCACGTGTCAAAAAAATCATTGGCTACCAAGTTTGCTACCAATCGTAGCGAACTTCAACACGTGGCAGTCTGGTAAATTTTACTATTCGCATGATAGTTTGGTATATAAATGCAAAAAGCATGGCACATTGGTCAATGTTCCAGAAAATAAATAAGATTGAAAAAATATTTCCATATATGATTTTGGGATCATTATATTGTGTATCTATTTAATTTTCTTATCCTTATTACTTTTTTCTACCATCATTGATTATATTTAAATCAACAGTCACAAATATAATAATATTTTTTATTTTATTTATATCTCGCTTATTTTTCTCAACTAATTACACCAGTTGTTTATCGCCGTTGATTTAAATATAATCAATGGTTATTTACCAAAAATAAATAAATAAATAAATATAATCAATGGTAATAAAAAGGTAGTAAAAGTAGAAAGATTAAATAGGTAGGCAATATAACTATTCCTGTAACAAAATGCAACAAATATTTTACTTTTATCTTTTTGTGAATTGTTTTAGTAAATATATTCATACCATATAACATTTTTATGACGAAGTATATATATAGATCTTTTTGGATAGTTACATGACTTTATTCAAAAACAATTCTAAAAAGCAGAGTAGATTGGCCAGTTAGTTAATTTATTTAATTACTTGGCTTAGTATATATGGAATGTATTCTACACTAATCAAGACATCATATTTGAATATAAGTGGCTGTGTAAGTGTTATGCAATATTTATAAGAATACAATAATGAGTTATAAAAAATAAAATTATTCACTTGTGGTTTAGATTTTTTATTCACTCTCATATAGGACAAAATGTCCAAGTGACCAAATATCATTTTCCCTATTCATATTATATTCACCTTCATAACGCAGTTTTTCCCACAATTGACACTATACATTCACCTGCAACAATTAATCACCCAATGGCACTTAGTTTATAATATGCCTTATATAAGTACACATTCACCTGCAACAATTAATCACCCAATGACACTTACTTTATAATATGCCTCAGAATCATCTATATAAGTAAGATTTACGCCCTAGAATAAGGACCTTTGCACTCTCTGCCTCTTTTATTAGATTATCATCTCATGCTCAACAATAACAATGAACGAAACAAAATTTTTAAATGAAAATTAATTATTTTTAAATAATCACTAAAATCACTATTATAAATGAGATAGGTTATGTTTACAAACTTTTTGTTTACAAACTCTTATAAATTACACTATGTACTATTGGAAGTACAATCCTAACCGAGGTACTTCCGGGAGTACATAATGTAATTTGTAAGATTTATAAACAAAAAGTTTGTAAATATAATAATGTCCCCGTTATAAATTATCAAAGTATTTCTATAATTATATTTCAGAGCTCAACCACTAATGGCACAAAGAAGGTACATTAGGTACACTTGATTAGTGCTATTGCTTGACTTATAAGCAAGATTTGATTCACCACACAATGCTCAACTACAACAGAACAATGGTATTACTACTATGTCAAACCTTGGACAAATTTGCAATATAAAAGCAAAACAATTATATGAAGGCTATAGCAGAATCAATTAACTATTCTTCCAAAATTTTACTCAGTAGAAGTAAGTTTTTACTCGGGTAACAATATGAGATTAATACAAATACTTGATCAAATGCCCGAATTTAAAAGGACAACTAAAAGAAAATAGGTGCAGTAGTAAAAACAAAAGATCATGGTAAAAGCAATAGTATAAATTACAAGTAATCCACTTGAATCTGAATCAATATATTTACAAGTAATAATGTTATTCCCTTCAAAAATAAAAGTATACCTCCAGCTGGTATCGTATCAAAAATCATGCAAGTTCCTCTACCTTGTGGTACTACATTTTGACATCCCTCACCAAAATCTTCTTTTCTAATTTTAGAATTCTGCTCCAACTTTTTTACCATTCATATTAACGGTGGTAACTTCTTTTGTCTGCAATGTCAAACATTCTTGCTTGTCACTATTTTTGACCCATAACCTTTCTGGGGGCTTAAAAACGGGCTCAGGTGGAGCTGATTTGGCCAAAGCCACTGTGGTTTGATAAATATGGTCAGCATCCAAAGATTCATCATCTAAAACAAGTGCACTTCCTTTCTTGACAGCTTGCTCCAACAGTAATAAAACTTCTTCTGTACAAGTTGCAGACCTTGATCTACTGATATCTGCTGCTCCTACACCATCTAGCAACTTATCGGTACGAGGATCTACCATGCTATTAATAGAATTGTCACCAGTTCCTAGGATGGTCACACTTGAACTTGTGCTCCCACAGGGCTGTGGCTCACCAGAAGAGCCCATGACATCTTCCGTGGTTTCAACTCCATAGATTTTCATAGAAAGTGAAGCAGGATCCGTAACCACAGACACAAGTAGATTGCTATTTTCTGTGGGATAAGGCACCTTAACCTTGTGCAAACTCACATCTCCGGAACTAGAGGAAATGCTAGTGTTATGAGGTTCATTGCTTAGATGCTCTACTGAATTCTTCTGCAGACATGGTACTGACAATTCTTGTGCATCCGATGGCAGTGCATTTGGATTTTCACTGTCGACAATTTTACTGGCTTCCTTGCTGTCATCTCTGAGATTTGACGAAGAGGGTCTCCAATTTTGTCCTCTCCACATAAGTATGTGCTCGTTTTCAAATGAAAGCAATATGCACGGAACAAGATCCTAAAGCCAAAGAACATATATGAAAGAAAAGATGTTACTATTGCATCATTAGAAAAATTCAAGTAACCTAAGTCAATCTTATGACACACCAAAAATATATATCTCAGTTCATATCATCTTCAATCTCGGATGGAAAATTGAGGTAAAACTGGTTATACCTTTAGTTTTGCTCCAATCCTTTTATAATCACTTGCATCTAGTCCTTGACAATTTATTCGCACTAGCTCACATTCTTCGAATGCCTCTCTGACATTTGTTACAAGGTCACAGTAATTACCATGTTTTGCTGCAACAATATAAAGATAGATATATGTCAGTTTGCCAGAAGAAAGAACAGTAATTTTCCTTTCTTGTTAAATTGTAACGAACATCTGAAAGAATCTACCTAGCTTGCATAAGGGTATCAAATCATTTCCCTTTTGACGCATTTCAGTTGCTTTTTGTAGCGTTAGACCTTCTGGAACTCGCTTGATCAGCTTAGGATACACTGGAGCAGCAGGTTTCCACAGCATAAAAGGAAAACGTGGACGTGTTTCATAATTGTAGTTTCTTCCTCGAAAAAGGTACACTGCACCACCCTTTCTGTAAATGATTTTCCCCCCGGTCCTTTCCTGGCAAACCAGACAAAATGAAGCAAGAGGACATAAATGAAAAAACAAAACGGAATTCTTTTTATCGAAGAATGTCAGAGGACATAGCCAACACACAAAAGTAAGAACAGGTAAACCCATTTTAAAGAAAAGAAAAACAAGGTTACAGTTGTAGACCATTAAGAGAGACCAAAGAAGTTGTCATTGAGAAAAAGGAGTCTTTTATCCCCCTATGAAAAGCTCCAAACAGCACTCAAAAGCGAGATTGAATCCAACATGAGGTAGTAACCTATATTTCTTTCAGTTAGTTAGCATTTAATTGTATTACAAAGCCAGAGAAAAAAGATGAAGAACGTAACAAATATTACAACCAAGAAATTGTACACATCCAAGAGCAAGCTGAGATTGTTATTTCCAAAACTTCTCAAAGCATTAAAAAAAACAGACGCTTAATGTCATGATGAATTGGTAATTGAGCAAGACGTGAAAAGATCAGAGGTTAAAAGCACAAAGAAACCAACCTCTATCTGCTGGCAAACATTGTCCATGTCAACGGTACACACTCCTATGCACTTTATCTTGCACACCTTCCGCCGCTTCCAATAAGTATGTATAGTATCCAACATGTTATGTGTCAAACCATCTCTACCTAACACAGAAAATTTGAGTGCACAGACATTTAAAAAAAAGAAAAGAAGAATAAGTAAACTTTCCATTCCCAATAGCCAGATAAGTGTATACAAGTGATCTCCTCACTCTCATGTAACATGCACTACTTAGCTCTCCTCATTCAATGTTCAAACAATCTTACAAGCAAGTAGCAACTAAGGTTTCACAAAACTCCTACAATTTAAACAAAGCAATATAACTTATGTTGCACCGACACTGACACGGAATACAACATGACACGACACTCCGATACGTTAATTCTAAAAAATGTTAAATTTCGACACGTTAGGACACGTTTTGATATTATATAATATTTTTAATTTATGTAGTGTATAGTATATTTAGTATTCAATAATTTAACAAAAAAAATAAAATTAAACTTGTAATACCCATCAATTTTGCAAAAAAACATAAGATATCCCAAATGTTTATATTAAACTCAATAAAATCATAATTGTAATCTAACGAATCTAATAGTTGGAACTTAAAATGCAACGCAACGTAATCTTTGAACTTTTTTTGAATCTTTGCAATGAATATTGGAGTGTCGGTGACTGTCGGGAAGTGTCGAACACGACACGTCGGAATTTTTTTAAGTGTCGGTGTTAACTGTTACCTATCCTATTCCCATTTAAGAAAAACACAAGTTACCTCCTTAAGTACACATCTACAACAATCACACTATCCTATTCCCATTTAAGAAAAAAAAAAAGTAGAAAAAGTCCCTAACATGCAACCCAACATTTGCACAAACTCCACTCATAATTTCCTCACACGCTCCCATGCAAACCACAGGATAACACTCAAGTCCATTATAACCTTTTGATTAACATTTAATTATTTGAAGCAAAAGGGTTCACTAAATTTTCAATAAAAGAAGAAACTTTAGAACATATTATGAAATTGCAAACCAAAAAAAGTAGAAAATACCAATAATGAGCTGGCGGGTAGTTTTTATGGTGCCATTAACCAATACATTGATCTCATCCTGCGTTAATGGCTCCCCCAATATCTCTTCCCTGGAGTGAAAATGAACCGGCTGAACCGGGCTCGAACCTTCTGAAAATGAACCGGACGACTGAACCGGGTTCGAGTCGAATTCATTAAACTTCTTCCTACTCGGCGGTGGGGCCCGACCGGTCCACGGACGCCGGGTGTTGGCCGGTCCGAACGGCACGAACGGCGGTTCGCGCATTTTGATCGGTTTGGCCGTCGGTGTCTCGGTGTAGCTGTACCTGAACTCGAACGGTGCACCGTCGACAACGTAGGACACTCCGTCATCGCCGATTTTCACATTCGCCGCCGGCGCAGGTTGAAATTGAGCACCAGGGTTGGGATTCTTCGAGAGCCTAAGCGAATCGGGTTTCGGTGGCGGTTTGGAGTACTTGGATTTTTTTCCCGGGATTGAAGGGCGCGACGGAGCGGAGGGTGTTCCGACGGATTTGAATGTTTCGACGGCGGCGGATGCGGCGGCGGATGCGGTTGCGGCGGCGATGTTGGCTATGATGTCGGCGGAGTCGAAGCGGCGAGTGCGGCGGATTTCGTCCTCGATTTCCTGCTGGGCTCGTCGGCGCTGGTTGAACTTCTCGGCGTTTGCGTTATTCCAACGGGAGAAACGGATCTCCGTGGAAGGGCGTTGATGGGTCGGGTTCGGGTCAATGGATGGGGCGAAGATGGGGAACCGGATTGGTAGCTTCAGAGTCACAGCCATGTTGGATGGATAGTACACTTTGATGGTTCAGGTTTATGAGTCACATGTTATTATCTCTGTTTGACGATTTTCGTTGCTGTAGTTAGCTAAGTACATTATTACTTAACAATTAATTATTATAATATCTTATTATAATCCACGATACATTTAGGTTCTTTTATATCCAAAAAATTATATTTATAAATATTTTGTTTATAAATTATAAGTATAATCAGTCATACTTTGAATAAGAGTGTATGACCGGTCATATTTAATATAAGTTGTAAAATAAATTATAAATGGATCTTTCTCCTTTTTTATAACATAAAACATAATACAACCAATTCAATTCTAAATACACTTGAAATTGTAGAAAAGGTCAATTTTTCTCAGAATTGAAAATTAACATCTATAATAACATCTTGCATTTCACAAGAGTAGGGGTTAAAGATGAAGATGAAGTAATTGTTCGTTTTGCTTGTTTATGGATGGAAAGATGTGTGATTACTGATTTTAAGTAGGTCAATCCTATCCATAACAGTAAGAGGTTCAAGATTCTCATTTTTTTTATTTTTTGCTGATTTGCATATTTGCGTAAACCTAAAGATTAAAATCATTAAAAAAAAATTGGATTATATGTTGCGATCGAATCGTATTTTTAATATGTTTTCATTCATAAATCAAAATTTAAACAGACATGGACAGAAAGAATTATAGGAGAAATATAAATAAAAATGATAAGGATAAGTAATTTTGGAATACCCAAAAAAACTTATTTTATTTTTTTAATAAACTACAACTATCGTTCCTGAGACAATCTGGTTCAAATTGGGAATATTCAGATCATGTAGAGCTAGCTCTCCTAAAAAAGAATTTTAAAAAAATCTTAATTTTTTTTAAGACTATTTTAGTAGAGATAGGATATTGTATCTAATTTACCTATCAATTTAAAATATTGTTAGTTGAGAATATAAAAAAAAAATAATAATAAAAGTTAGTTGAGATTATAATGTATCGATATTTGAAGAAATAGATAAAATAAGAATTAAAAAAAGGAAAATATTATTCTCTATTTATAGGGGATAATTATCCTATGGTGTAAAAAAAAAAAATCTTACTATTACAAGAAAAAAAAAATGCAAAAATCAAAATGAGAAAGTAAAAGAGTTATAAAACAACCCTCAAGTGTAGCTCAGTTGGCAGCTGAGCTCCGAAGGGATTGCTTGGTGCAGGGATTAAACCCTGACTCAAACAGTTTCTTAGTAAATCTTTCGGGCCAGAAGATAAGTTAAAAATATTCGGTTGGGGATTAGTCTCGTCCAGAGCTAGCTCAAACGGGCTGTCCGGAGAAGATTGAATGAAGATACTTATGGTATGGTAATGTAGCAAAAAAAAAAAAAAAGAGTCATAAAACTCTTACAAGAAATAAGTAGAATAATCTATGACGTTTTAGTAACAAAATTTTCAAAAAATTAAATTAATAACACGGTGAAGGACCAATTACAAAGCTGCTCCGCCGCCGCCGACAACAATAGCAAGTGTATGTATGTTTTGCTTTCGGACAGTGGTACATACGTAATTATCTTCACTAACAAGACCATATTTATATTATCTCCAGTTTGAGGGATACACCTTACAGAGAAGCGTTGAAGAGGCTTAGTTGCTCGCTGGAGGGAAGGTATTAAGGTAACGTTACTTTGATTTCTTTGTTTCTTCCAATTTTATTTTCGGGGGTGAAATTTGTCTTACAATTTTACCCTTTTTCTGTGTTTTTTAGTTAAAGGGGTGTTTGTTCTATTGCTAAGTTGAAGTCATTGTAGCTAGCATTCAAGATTTCTTCAAAACATGGTACTGTTTATATATGCATTCAGTGGCTTGCATTTGATTCACTTTGTGGAAAAGTTTTTTACTTTTTCTTTTTCTTTCTGAAAAAATTGTTTTACTGTCTTATTTGTTCTTCTGAACTTGAGAAGCTAAACTACCTTTCCAGGTTTTTGCTCAGGATTATAAGGTCACTCACTGTAATGATGATTATTTATCTTAGTTTGAAGTAATCAGTTGAGTTTTGCATGAAATGGGTATCAATGTTCTAGCCCGGAGATTGTATCATGTGGCAATTAGAAGGCTCTTGATTGTTGCAGTGTTCATTGTTATGGTAGTTGTTTTCCAATGTTATTGGATAACTGCAGCAAAGGATGCATCTAGATCCACTGCATCACATGTCCTGCCTATTGTTACTTTTGCCTCTAATTCAGAAGAAGGTGGTTATGAGAAAGAAGCAGATTTGGACTATGAATTGGAATCTGATGGGGACAGAAATTCAAGAAAGGAAGAAATACTTAGTAAGGGTTTTGAAGTGGGAAACCATGAAGATGCAATTTACAGTTTCACTCAGAATAGGCCCAAGTATGTGCATGATCCTACACAGAAGGCTAGAGAACTAGATAACAGACACAATATTCAACACCATGCAAATAACATGCAATTTGCATCACAAGGGATTCATTCAAAGGGCATACAAAATCTGGATGCAGATATGAGCACATCTGATCGGTTACTCATTGTAGAAAAATCTTCAAATGGCAGTGGAATACAGAGTTTGGAAATGGAATCCCGAAATCGGAGACCACGGCTATTGAAAACTTCTTTGTCTAAGATGGGTACTTCATCCATGAGGAGAACTAAGTTGGTGTTGCCAACTTCAATAACACAGATGAACTCTTTGTTGCTTCAGAGTTATATTTCTCCCATGGTATGGAGTTCAGCTTTGTGGTTCCAATTTAATCCATTGTGATGCCTTATTTTTACGTATTATGTATTGATGAATGATGACAGAGGCCAAGGTGGTCTTCTCGACTGGACCGCGAACTCTTATCAGTAAAACTGGAGATTGAAAACGCCCGTGTCATGTCAAATTCTTCAGGACTTTATGCACCTATTTTCCGGGATGTTTCCAAGTTTTCAAGGTATCCTGGCTACAGTTTTATATGTTAGATGTATAGCATTGCAGTATAAATTATTCTTTTTTCATTCTTATACTCTGAGATATCAGTTCCTAGCTGTGCTGTACTTTTTTCGGTTAGTGTATTATTACGAATAATTTGGGTAGATTTTGGAATTGCTAAAATGTTTTTCAAGATATCATTTGTAATTTAGTCTTACAAATTTAGATGTGCACATTATCAACTAGATTTCACCTACACAAGCGATGATATGGACATCATTTCATCCATTTGTCTGGAGACCCCCTTTTTTTTTCTCTTAACCAGTTCATATGTAGGCCTTTTTTTTCTGTAGATAACTGAAGCATAGTGTACATCTGTTCTTCAGGAGTTATGAACTGATGGAGCACAAGCTAAAAGTTTATATCTATAGAGAAGGAAAAAAACCTATATTCCATCAACCGAAGATGAGAGGAATTTATGCCTCCGAGGGGTGGTTTATGAAATTGATGGAGGGAAATAAAAGGTTCACTGTGAGGGATCCCCGAAAAGCTCATTTGTTTTACCTACCGTTCAGCTCTCAAATGCTAAGGGTTACTCTTTCTGACGGTAAGAAGATGGAGCAATACCTTGAGAGATATGTGGAGTTAATTGCAGGAAGATATCGTTTCTGGAACAGAACTGGGGGAGCAGACCATTTTCTTGTTGCTTGTCATGATTGGGTGTGCTTCCATTGCATCACTTTCATTAGTATTTATATAAAAAGTTTTCCAGGATAATGTTAGTAAAGTTCTCTTTAAGATTGGCTTCCTTATAGAAACAAGCATTAATCAATTCAGAAATTTGATCAGACCATAAATCAGCTATCATATAGTTGGATTTATCATGCACAAAAGCAAGGTGGCTCACACAAACTTGACAGGTGTACAAGTGCTTCTAATCTGAGGACCCTGTTTCTAGAATGATGTAGCAAAGTTTTAGCATTGGTCATTGTTGTTTAAATACTTACTATGCTTATCATGGAATAATTTTTTCTGGCTAAAACTCCTATAACATCATATCCTACATGTTTTACATGATATATCTTGATGCAAAATCTAAGATAAATTTTGTCTTTTTGAAATTTTTTAGCTCTAGTGTTTATATATAAGTAAAATGCACAGCCCCATGGTATATTATGCTGTTGAACCTGGATCTAAGGCAGCTTAAAATTTTCTGCAGTATTAACTTAATGTAATGTATGGTATTGCAGGCCTCCAAAATCACAAGGCAACCAATGAAAAGTTGTATTAGGTCTCTCTGCAATGCTAATGTTGCTAAAGGCTTCCAAATAGGCAAGGACACTACTCTACCTGTTACTTATATACACTCTATGATGGATCCACTGAGAGGATTTGCAGGGAAACAACCTTCAGAAAGGTCTATTCTGGCCTTTTTTGCAGGAGGCATGCATGGTTATCTACGTCCAATCCTGCTAAAATACTGGGAGAATAAAGAAACTGACATGAAAATTTTCGGTCCAATGCCGCGTGATATGGAAGGTAAAAGAATTTATATGGAATACATGAATAGCAGCAAGTATTGTGTATGTGCTAGAGGTTATGAGGTCCACACCCCAAGAATAGTTGAGGCCATTTTTTCTGAGTGTGTGCCAGTTATCATATCAGATAATTATGTGCCTCCTCTATTTGAGGTATTGGAATGGGAAGCATTTTCTGTATTTGTTCGTGAAAGGGATATCCCTAATCTTAGAAGCATACTAATCTCAATCCCAGAAGAGAAGTACCTGGCACTGCATTTGGGAGTAAAGAAGGTTCAACAGCATTTCCTGTGGCACAAAGTTCCTGTTAAGTATGACTTATTTCATATGATTCTTCATGCAGTATGGAACAATAGACTTTCTCAGATTAGATCAATGTGATGATGTCATTGATGCGAATAAGTTCCAAGTTGTTGTGGAAGAAAACTAGTAAAACTCAGCATGAAATACGAGCAAAGAACAACTGGAAAGGAAAAATCCTTTCTCATGAATTCAATATTTTGGCAGACTTATAAACACTGTCTGCATTATGGATTGCCCTGCTGACAAATTGAGCTAAAAGTACTTTGATAATTGAAAATTCGTTGGGCTAAAAGACTCAGTTCAAGAACAAGACATGGTCTTTTTGACTGTTGTGTAAATAAACTCTTAAGACATTTGAGGTTTAACCTTTCTTGTCCAAGCTTTGAGCATTCATGAGGAAATCTTGTTCAAATATTTAATTAGTTGAAGTTCAGTTCAGATAAACCTTGTTCAAATATTTCTTTTAGAACAGGATAAAGTTTAGTTCACCTTACGTGTATGCTTTCTTGAAGAATAGTCCCATGCTTGCTGCATTTTTATGCAATTGATAGGTTAAAGATAGTAAGCTTCCAATCTCTTTGTAGATTGAAAGGAAACAATTTGGAGGGATGATATTTTTAAGTGTTACTATATTTTTTTCCATCCATTAATTCTTAGATGAAAAGAAAGAAAAAAGAAGTATTGTTTTTTTTTTTTTTCCATTAGATGATACTGAATAAAAGGAGTTACCATTCTCTCTTCTCTTCCATTCTTTCTTTAAAGATGACTTTCCAGTTATCAATTTCTGTTTCAACAAGTTTCTTTGTAAACACTCACCTTGAATATCAGTTTGACGGTATTCGAATCGGATTAGTGGGATTGTCCATGAACTGGTTGGAAAATAATAATAATAATGAGAATGTTATACTTATTATTATTTTAACTGTATCATTCTTACTACCTTATTGGCTATTATTAGATTAATTTAAAATCAACGACAATTAAGTTTTTTCTTTTTTTCAAATGTTGATTTCAAATTGATCCAACTATAACTAATTAAATAATAAGAATGGTAAGTCTAAAATAGTAGTAAATATAACCGCCGTTAATAATAATATGACAACATTTTTGTACTATGCCAATAATGCAGAGGACCTGGTGCTTTAAAGGTGCAGATAGATGCCCAGAAAATTTTATGGTCACTGCTTCAGCACACTGTCCAAAAAGTCAGTCATATCAAGTTACCAACAACACATTCTTTGCAATCTCAGGAAGAACTGCTTGTAGATATCAGATTTGTAATTTTTGCAGCCTTTTCTATAATTGTAAAGAGCTGCTTGTAGATACCATATCTGTAATTTTAAATGCCAATTACATCTCTGCTGTTGTTGTTCCTTTTTCTTAAGAGTGTAAGTGACCTTTCCACCTTCAGCCTTAAATACACTACAAGCAAATGACAATGCACCAATTTAAGTACTGACAAATGTCAATGAATTTTTTTTTTTAGATTAAAAGTTCAAATTAGATTAACTCAATTCCGTTAACTAAATAGTTGCACTCAATGTTAATACAGTAATATTTACAGATTGTGTATTAAAAATTGCTTTAGTGGGTTGGGTCATTTGTTGGGCCGTGCGAGAGACCGTCAATCATGAGTCAAGTGAGCAGCAATATTAAGTGGGCTCGGAACACTACAATCAAATCCAAAACCTTAAGGCATTAAGTGCATGGGTCCTTTTACTTATATGGTGCTCACTTAGGTCATTCTTAACTAACGTGAGATCTTTTTCACTCAATCATTCACACTTGAATTCCTCAACACCATTAAAAGTTTAACTTAGCTAGCAGAGTCTCCAAAATGAACCGTATGAAACCTGCAAACATTGGAGGCAAATAGTGCCAAAGAAACTAACAGTTCTTGGTTCATATATATAAGGAAAAAAAAATTATATTATTTTTTAATTTAAATTTAATAAACTTCTATATTTTTTTTTTTTTTTTTTGATAACAAAACTTCTATATTTTTATATGAACACAACATAACATTTAAATTAATCGAAGAGTGAATCATTGCTTTTGAGAAGAGGAAAAACTAGGCCCGTGGCTTGTACTGTGCAAGCATACTGAAGAATCATAATTGGAGGTTTTTCAGCCCACGAAACTTCTAACCTTTTGTTGTATTAAAATTATAATTTTATCTCTTACATACACATACAAGTGTATAAGGCTCATGTGGAATTGCTCCCCCCCCATGATTTTTTTATTTTTTTTAAAGTCTTAAAATTTTTATCTATTTAGTAAAAGAGAGTATCAAATTTGGTGCTCCCAATGCATTAAAGTTTTTCTCTTTTGTTAGAGCTAGTTAATGTTTATATATGTATAATATTCAATTTCATTTGGCAATTCATAAATGGAAAATATGTTTTTATGTTGCATGAGATAATTTTGTCTCATGAGGCTAGCTCAAGCTTAACCCGGCTCTGATACCACTGCCATACGAGTTGAATATTTGGGCCTAGGTACTCGGTTGGGGGGGAGCATACCAATTTAGGATGTTCGCGGTGTAGATTGGATCGATTTTGAAGTAATAATCATGTGATTCAATCCCTTCGGTTTGATCATTTAATCATCTATTTGATTTGAATTTTTTTTAAATCCAATACAATTTTATTCAGTTTGGATTGGATCAATTTTCAATTTTTTTGAAAAGCTTAAAATTTAGTCATACAAATCTCTAGTTATATCAAAATAAAACCATTTAAAGCTACAAACCACTAGAAAATTCAAGTTTTCAAACTAAAAAAAGTCTTAAAACTCATGAAGAACTAAAATAGATTAATATAAAATAAAAAAACTAAAACAATATATTTTACTATCAATAACAACCAAAATTCTAAGACTACAAAACAACAAGATTCTAAGTCACCATCTTTCGAAAATAATAAACACATAATAAATTGGATCGATTTTCACCAACCAAATCGAAAACCGATCCAATTCAATTAAAATATACTGTTTTTTCTTTGATTTATGATTTTTTGATTTTCAGTTAATTCGGTTATCGGTTTTTTGGTTTGGTCACCGCGATTTGAATCGATTTGGATCGGTTGATGAACACTCCTAATATTACCAATGTTGGGTTTCACACTTGAGGGAGGAGATTATTGAAATATTCAAGTATGATAAGTCCTACATTACTTGGTAATAAGCTAAGTAAAGTGTATATAAGTGGAATAATTCATAAATTCGATGCCTTAAGATTTTGGGTTGAGATGTGGCATCAGACCTACTTGATGTGGCTTATTTAGTTTAGCTTATTGAGGGTGGTGGTCTTTTGACACGAGCTTCCTCTAGACCAACTTGATAGTGTTATCAAAGCTTTAAGGCATTGTGTTAAAAGATAAAAAGATACAAAATAATTATGGTTGGTCTAGCTTAGTTCATTAGTAATGGTCCCCCGTCACAGACGAAGTTTCACACATGAGGGGAGATTTAAGTGTAATGGAGTCCCACATAATTGGCAAAGTCAAATGGATATAAGGGAGATGACTCATAAAAACTTGGTTGAAATGATTCTTGTCACATGCAACACATAAAAAATGAGTGAAGTCCATTTTTTTCTTTCACTCTCTTCTACTTAACTAGTGTATTACCCGTGCGTTGCACGGAGGAAAAAAAATCGATTTGTTTGTCTCGTAAAAACTAACGCATCACATGCAAGATGCCAAACCTACATTTGAAATCCTTCATCCTCTTAGAAATGAATTAGTAATAATCTACAAATAAAAGTATGAAAAAAAAACACATGAACATGTGAGTACAAATAAAAAGTGTTATAACAATACATCCATATATTGATGACCATGAAATATTGTTTGTTCAAAAATAGCAGTTAACAATATACCATGTGTGGATGAAAAGCGATTCCTGCATGAGAAAAAAAAAGCAGCAGTTAAAAAAACCTAACGTTAACGAATATAAATAAAAAAGCACTTCATTGCCATTTTTTTTTTCTTTACCTGTACCAAGGAGTGATGTTATCTCATAGTAGACAGAAGGAAATTCACGACATTAATCTTTGAAATACTTCATTGTAAATTATATTAAGGGTACTATTTGTAACACAACCGTTTTCATCAAGTATCAATATCTTTAATCCATGTTTGCTCTTTACTCTGGACAGTGCCACATATAATTGCACATGAGTGAAGACAGGATGGAGGAGATAAATTGCAACATGAGAAAGAGATTGTCCTTGGCTCTTATTGATAGTCATGGCAAATGAAACAATCGGGGGAATTGTCTTCTTTGAAAATTTATAGGAAATGTGTGACTTGATGGGCTCATCGTCATTCTAGGATTTTATATTTTATCTCAGAAATGAACTTTCATTTATTACAATCAGATTTATAAAATAATAATAAATAATTATTATTTTTGCAAGGATTTGTGTCGTTAGTCTTTGAAATTTCACAAATTTGAATTTACAAAAATTGAAATCAGATTTAGTAATTTAATTATAAAAGAAGAAGGATAAAATTTCAGTTGAATTATAAAAATATATTGGCGGGCCGGCCCCCACTTTTCCACCTCTAACTGTCAACATTTTATATAAATAATTATTTTTTGCAAGGATTAGTGTCGTTGGCCTTTGGAATTTCACAAATTTGTATTTACAAAAATAAAAGTCAGATTTAGTAATTTAATTATAAAAGAAGAAGGATAAAATTTCAATTGAATTATAAAAATATATTGGAGGGCCGGCCCTCCGGGTCGAGCCCAGTTTTCCACCTCTAACTGTCAGCATTTTATATAAATAATTATTGTTTGCAAGTATTAGTGTCGTTAATCTTTGAAATTTCACAAATTTATATTTACAAAAATTAAAATCAGATTTAGTAATTTAATTATAAAAGAAGAAGGATAAAATTTCAATTGAATTATAAAAATATATTGGCAGGCCAGCCCTCCGGGCCGAGCCCAGTTTTTCACCTCTAACTGTCATTTTTTATTTAAATTTAAAATTTAAAACATTTTATATTAATTATACATATTTTTATATAATTTTTTTATTTTAATTTATGATTTTTGTAGATTTTTTTAATTGGTTATACATGTATATTTAAATTTTTTATGTTAAATATAATTTTAAAAAATACATGTATATTATTTTAATTGGTTATACATGTATACTTAAAAATTTTATGTTAAAATTTTAATTTATTTTTAGTAAAGTATAAATTACGCCATTTCTTTTTTTTCTTTTAAATTTGAAATTTTAAATAATTTTTATCGACTATAAATGTATTTTTATAATTTTAAATATTTTATTGTTTAATCTATAATTTTATATTAAATTCAAATTTATTATATATTTTTTTTTTCACTGCATAAATATTAAATGCTGAACTCTTTTTCCACATATCAAGTTCACATAATTTTTCATTTAATTTATTTCCAAATTTTGAATTTATTTTATAATATAAATAATTTTTTTATTTTACAATTTTTTTAATGTTTTTGTTTTTTTATGCAACATTAATAGGGCTAACAAATATTCATGCAAAAAATAATGGGACATTGAATGAGTTGTATGCCACCATAAATGATTAACTTATTTTTTCATTGATTTTTTATTTCAATTTTTAAAAGAAATTATTATTTATTTAATTTTTTATTTCTAAAATTAATGAGTGAAGGAGTGAAGAACAAGAGCGATAAGCATGTATAACCAATTTTTATTTCGATTTTTAATACCCCGTTCATGTTCATAAAAAATGAGTGACTTTTTTCTTTCACTCTCTTCTACTTAATAAGTTTCGCACAATTTTTTATGGGTTTTCGTTTTATCCTTTAACATAACACAACAAACTTTCCTACACTCACAATATTTTGTGGGGCCCACACTTTTTAAAACAAAAAAATAAATAAAAAATTAAGGCACGCAAAACGAATCTCTATAACATTACACAATCACTTTTCCTACAACATAACTCTTATAAAACCTATTTTTTATATGTTAAATAAAATAATTTGTATCATTCAACATCATAAACGTATTCTCCTTCATAAATATGCAGTATCGAAGTTCAGACTTCAGAGAGGCCAATGAGCTTTCGCCATGTTATGGTGCAAGCAGCATCCTGCTATTTAATGTAAAAAAGCAACAGCTACGTTAACATTTAAAGATGTACAATAATCAATTTTATTGGCCAATTCATATATATGTGCAGTATTGAACTCAGAGAGGTCAAGTAGTTTTGACCAGATCGTGGTTCAAGAACCTATGTAACTCTTCTCAGAAAGATAAGAGTATTTCAGGTCAGAAATTCTTTTATCTTTTTAATTTTATTGTTTAAAGCAAATTGAAACAAAAGCTTCCAAAAATTGACATAACCTGTATTACGGGAGGACTCCAAAACTGAAAGAATATTGGTGCAGAAATTCCACTTAGATAATTCGTTTATGCATCCAAAACAAATTCAGAGAAAAAAGATAGCCAACAACAATGGCCCACCCATTTGTAAGATTTAATGTTTTGGGTCCTCCAATGTATAGCAATCAGCAACAAAAAGAAATGTATTTAATATTCTGAACCAGTGTTATCAAACTCGACCCGATTTAATTGGGTTGATTCGGAGCTTGACGAAATAGTTATTGGATCGGTTTGAGTCAAATATTAGACCGACCATTATCAGATTCGGTCAAACCTAATGACCCGGATGAGTCATGTATTTTAAAAAAAACAAATAATCAAAAACCAAAATTATTTTATCTTGTAAGAAAACAACTATAGAACTCATTTTAATTTTATTTGCTATTAGTTTACTCTTCTACACTGACCTCAAATTTCAGTTTCTAATACTGAAATAATTTGCGGAACAATAAATTAAGAGAATGTGACATAAGTTATTTCAATGTAGATAAATTTAAAAAATATGAGTTCACAAAATCTGACCTTTTGAATGTCATTGAGAGGTATACTTACGGAAATTCTGAGTTGCAATTCAAATTGACATAGTAATTGCGTGTATTTTCACTTATTTGAGCTTTATGAACTTGTAAAAGTGTGATTGGATAATTTTTGAGCTTATTTAGTAAACATTGTTTAACTCATTTTAGATATGGAGAATATAATTAAATGTATATATTTATATATATATATATATATATATATATATATATATATATATATCCAGGTCAATTCGTCCAACCAATGACTTAATGATCCAGTATCCCGACCAAGTCGATAGCCAGGTTTAATAATACTGTTCTGAACCTATTTCACATTCCACAATAGGCCCCGGAAAAAAAGTACTTCAATTTCTATTTAAGTTTCTCATACGTAAGCTATCTTTTTTTAGTGTAAATTGATTTTGCCTCTACATTAGACATGATTAACCTATATCCATATAAGAACAAGAAATCTTATATTGAATTTTAGTTATTGATTCGCTTGTATTTAATAGCTCACATATTTGATAAATTAGAGTTATAAAATGTAAATGAGAATTATTGATTTGATTTTGATTAAACAATCATAAAATTTATTTAATTTTATTATTGTTTGTCCGAGCTAAGAATGAAGTTATTTAGTCAGGATAATATTATAATTGTACAAGAGTTAATTCATTCTATGCATAAAATAAGAGGTACAAAGGCTTTCATGGCAATAAAGATTGATTTAATGAAGGCTTATGATAGACTTAGTTGGAGTTTTTTGCAGAGATCGCTGGAGGAAATTAGACTCCCGCAACATCTGATAGAGCTTATCATGAAATGTGTTCAGAGCACAAATATAAATGTTCTCTGGAATGGGGGTAGGACGAAAGCATTTAGGCCTACAAGATGTATTAGACAAGGTGATCCACTGTCACCTTATCTTTTTGTTATTGCAATGGAGAAATTGTCACACATTATAGCTACTGCAACTAGTGGTGGTTTATGGAAGCCAATTCGGGTGGGTGTTAAGGGGCCTCAAATTTCTCATCTAGTCTTTGCAGATGATCTCATGATTTTCATGGAGGCCAGTGAGGAGCAGTTGGATGTATTAATGAAGTGCTTATGTTTGTTTGAAGAAATTTTTGGACAAAAACTTAGTGTAGATAAAACAACTATTTTCTTTTCCAGAAAAACAAGTGATGTGGTGGCTGATAGGATATCTCAACGTAGTGGATTTAGAAGAGTTAAAAATATGGGTCGTTATTTGGGGTCTATGATGCAGCATGGGAGAGCAACTAGAGACTTATATGAGAGTATTGTGGACAAAGTAAGGTTTAAACTTAATTCTTGGCAGCAACAGTGTCTATCACAGGTAGGTCGTATCACTTTGACTCAATCGGTAATGATAATAATTCCATTTTTTCAAATGCAAATCTGTAAAATTCCTGAAGCAATTTGTTTAGAAATTGAAAAAATCCAGAGAGGCTTCATTTGGGGAGATGGTGAGAATAGTAGGAAGTACCATGGCATCAGTTGGAAATGTATTTCGCGTCCTAAGTCTTGGGGTGGATTGGGGCTGAAGAGACTGAAATTAATGAATGATGCTTTTATTGCTAAGAGGGCTTGGAGTTATCACGTTGGATCTAATTAGCTTTGGGTTAAAATGCTTCGTGCTAAATGTAAAGCAAGGAGTACCCGGAATGGTCCTTTTGCAGTGAATAATGGTGATTCGAATTTTTGGAAAAACACGTGTAGGCTTTTGGAGGAATTGGATTGTTGTCTCATCTGAGTTCTTGGAGATAGAAGTGAAATTAATTTTTGGCAGCATAGATGGTTAACGCCTCAATCATCTCTGCAAGAAGTTGCATCTAATTGGGATCAAAATATAGATACAAACAGGAAGGTGGCTGATATGATAACAGTGGAAGGGGAGTGGGACTATGTGGAGTTAAAACGCTGGCTTCCACAAAATATAATTAATGTATTTAAGAATACTTTGCCTTCGAATAGTCTTGATGGCCCTGACAGGAAGATGTGGGATCTTTTGGGTGAAAGCGTGGTATCTGTAAAGGCTCTTTATAATATTCTTAGTGAGCTGAGAGGTGTGGGGGGAAATGAATCAAAAATTTGGAAAAATATCTGGGAATGGGAGGGGCCACAGAAAGTTAAAATTTTTATGTGGAAAGTGGTTCATCATGGGTTATTAACTATGAATAAAGTTGCTCAATGGTCTGGGGGGAATGATATGTGCCCCATTTGTAACTCTGAACGTGAGACAATGTTGCATGCTTTGAGGGACTGTTTGGAGACGAATCAGCTTTGGTTAAGTCTGGTTTACATTGATGGAAATTATGCTTTTTATCAGCAAGGTTTGGATGAGTGGCTTTCAAAAAATATAATTGTGGGAACTAATATTTCTTTGTTTTTCTTGACTTGCTGGAAAGTGTGGCAATGGAGAATTGAGAAGATGCGTGGCACTAGTATCCCTCCTTTCAGGTCGAGAGAGGTTCTAATTCATAAGCTTGTTAATGATGTTGAGATGGCTGTGGGAGAGGAAATGAGCATTTAGTTGTACGCGGAAAAATGTATGTTGACATTTCTTGGCAATTTCTTTTTTTGGGATTTGTTAAGGTTAACACATATGGTGTTGCTTCCTGGCATAGCTGCTTGTGATGTGGTTATGAGAGATTCTCAAGAGAGATGGCTGGGTGATTTGCTTATAGACTTGGGATTTGTAGTTCTTTTAGAGTAGAATTGTGGGGTGTGTTTTGCGGGCTGGAATTAGCTTGGAATTCTGATCACTGTAATGTTATAATTGAAAGTGATTCAACTTGTGTTATCACTGTGCTCACCTCCCAGGGTGCAGCAGCTCGTGAGAGTCAGTTGATTTCTCGGATACGGGATTCAGAAAGATTGGTCGGTTAGTTTCAATCCCACGTTCAGCGAAGGAAATGCTTGTGCGGGGATGGCAAATTTTATCTTAGAGCATGATGAGGCTGTGCACTATCTTTTTTGTGAAGAACCACCACCTGACATTCACGTTATTTATCTGGTTGATCTTAGTGGAGTGGGAAGTCCGCAAACTTTGGTGATCGAGTAACTTCTGTTTATGTTTTGGTATTCTATCTTTGTTTTTGTTTTTGGGACTCTGTGCTATTGGCTATAAAAAAAATTACAATTGCACTGGAAGCACTTACATTTCAACCGTTTCATCTTGAACGAAATCTCAAGTTTCGAAAAAGAAAATTGGTCCGTATAATTTATGAGACAAATAGGTTGTCCAAATAAAAAGGGAGTGGTAGTGTTTGTTTAGACGGACTACTTTTTTAGAAAAAATTTAATCCATCGATGTAACCGAACTTGGTATTTTCTTTTATTATAAAGGGAAAAAATGTATTCAGTTTTTTACATTTCTCTTTAATTCTTAAAAGAAAAATTTTTCTTTTAATAAAAGTGGTGCATTAAAGTTTGGGTTATATTTATCTCATTTTACATGAGATAAATAAATTTTCTACACACAAAAGTATGGTGGATCCCATTTTTTTCCCTCTCTGTCCTCTTTCATGTAGGTTCCACTTTTAATTTTGTTTCTATAACTTGAAGTAATCATTTTCCTACAACATAATTTTCGGGGGTGTTTGGTAAGAGGTGAAAAAAAAAATTTCTGAAAAAATGAGATGGGAAAATTATTTGCTTATGTTTGGTAAGAGGTGAAGTAAAATTTTGGCTGAAAAATTTTTCCCCATCATTTGTTTTTGTATGTAAAATGGTTGGAGAAGATTATTATTGAAGGGGTGAAATTATTTTTTCTCATGTAGTGAAAAAATTAACATATAATATCAGTAAAATTAACTCAACATTTTCATAAAAAAATTTGCCTACCAAATAACTTTTAGTAACTTATCTAGAAAAAATAATTTCTCATAATATTTCCAGAAATTTTTTTTTTTCAATAAAAAAATTTCTTCTCTTTAAAACACACCCTTAAAGTTTTTCTCTTACATTTTCCTTATCTAATTATGATGCCAGCAATCCAAATAAGCATCCAATGCCAACATCCAATCAAGAGAACCTGAGTACATAGTACTTCTTAAGTATCACTCTTACGATGATCTCATATATATCCAACCATGTTAATATATGCATGCAAACAGAAGTTAATTATTGAACAAAACAGCTTTGTGCAATGACAGCTCATGCAAGTGGTACAATCGTACTGATTCTCTCAGACTGTAATCGAGAGTTACTGGTGAATCAACCAATGAACTTGGCTTTGTCGTGTCGACATCCAGAATTTGAGTAAATCTTCAGTCCAATGGGAACTGATACATAGTAATTGAAGTGAGCGTTTGGTTGAGGAGAAATTTTTTGAATATTAAGGAAATGTAATTAATAGGGAAATAGTTGGAAAGTGAGTTTGGTAAGAAAATGTAAAAAAAGTTGTTTGGTTGGAAAAATTTAACCGGGCAAATTAGGTAAGATTTACAAAGTTCATGTTTGGTTTGAGGTAAAATATAGATGGAGAAATAAGTGATAATTAAAAAAAAAATCCCTGTTTTTAAAACAAAAAAACTCTGTTCAATTATGTTATCATTCAGTACCTTAATTGTAAGATGAATATCCCAGGAGATAAAGGCCCTATACTACTCAGGCCGGAGACATATGAAACCAGAAGATTGAAACTTGACACGACTAACAAAATGCATGTGAAAAAAAATTCCTTTCACCAGACGGAGGTGAAAACATACATAAACCCTTCTTTTTCATCTGAGCCTCTCATCCTCTTGGCTTTGGCAAAAGAGAAGCAACAAAGCAGAGAAAACCGAAAGAAGCTCAGCTCAAATTAGCCAAACTCAAACTCGCCTTCAGCAAAATACGAAGTGGGTGGCTGCTGACCACTCAAAAGAAGATAATATCATGAAGATAATTTCGGTAGCTTTAATTTTTCACTTTCCAATTTAGATGGCTATCGACCAAAACCCACATCCAAGATCGCTTTCTCAACAATGTGAATGCCCCGCTTTCTAGACCAAATGGAGAAATCCTATGCAAGTGGGATAGATGGGCACCCTTGCGAAATCTCTCTACCAAACGAAGTCTTTGAGGATTGCCAAGTTCATTTGCCTAGCTAAATTGTAGGATCTCCTGAACCAAACAGGGCCTTATAGATTCATGGAAGTTTGTGTTGAGTTTATTTTTATTTTTTATATTTCTGAAATGGTGGGTCCCGTTTGAAGTTTGAGTCTGTAGAAAAATGATGTTTTCTCCAATAATAAGAGAAAAACAACACTCATATATATATATATATATATATATATATATATATATAAGGAAATTATTATAAAAAGAAGGGTAATATAAATATGTTATTTTTTTATATTTAGTAAATGATGTATTGAGTAATTTGTATATCCATAAGTATTAAAAATAATTTTTCAGAATTTAAGTAGAGAACCTGTGTTCAATGATTGGAGTTTGCTCCCACATTGAGGGAAAAATCTTCGGTGCTACTGATGCATTGAAGTTCAGTGCATTAGTAGTTCATTTATCTTATGATACGTATGCGGATTCTAGCGGGGGGTTGGAATTCGCAGTCAGGGTTCCTCGTGAATACATGGTTTGAGATTTGATTTGATCTTATTAATCTTCTTATTGGACTAAATAGAATATTTCTATAAATTAATCTATTCCTAGGATATAAGTAATTCTTAATATAATTGTCGGGGGTTGAGATTGATCAAAATCAACTGATTATGTATACGACTCACCATACCAACTATGAAACAACTTATTAGAAACAAATAACAGCCAAAGAACTTCTTGCGTGTGCGTTGTTTCTATCTATTATTATCTAAAAATAATCAAATTATTAATAATTGGGTAAAAGCAAGAAATGATTGCACTGAAGTTTTGTTTCTCATTGAGGTGCTTTCTTACAAAACCATCAATTTTATGTGGACTACGCATTTTTTTTTATATCGTCACAAAATTTATACTTTTATATGGTGTCTGAATTAACTGAACCGTCATGACTCATGAGTCTATATATAACAACGATGATATTAGAAATGTATTCATTAAATAATGCCTTTTTCACCAAATTGACCCTGAATAGTTTTATTTTCTTTTCAAATAAGCCTATGTGAAATTTAGTGCCTATTTGATTTCTGTTTTAGAAAACATTTCTTACTTGTCTATTTTTTAGTTTTTTTTTTTTTTTTGATAAAATATTTTTTAGCTTTTAGAAGTGAAATTAGAGAATAATATTTCTTACTTGTCCTTTTAGAATGGTGCTTGAGGAGGAGATAAATCCAAGAGGTTATTAAACACGAAAAGGTGGTTCTAAGACCAGAAATGGGACGGCTTTGCGGAAGAATTCCAAAGGAGGAGAGGTTGAGAGGATCTTAAATAAAAAAATTTTAAAAAAAATTCTCGAATCAAATGCAAAATTTTATGTAAATTTCTTATGTACGTATTTAACAATATGGATATTAATTCAATAACAACATTTAACGTAAAAATCATTATAAGTTTTGTTTGCATGAAGTGTTGTGTTATGGATTAGCCTTCTTCATAATTCATTGCTTATGAGTTGAACTTCATAGGCCTATCAAAGGGTCATTTCATTGCCTGCTCATAGTTATTATATAGGCCTCTAAGAGACTGCTCACCCTTGATACAGTATTGGTTCAATTCCCTCACACAAAGGAGTGAGGTAATGGGCAAACTCATATAATCAGCTAATTGGCAAACTCATATCATTAAGGAGTATTTCTCAATTATATATACCCTTTGCATTCATATATTTGATGAGTAAACCATTGTGCTTGTTGAGAAATATAGTCTCACATTAGTTGTATGGGTAATTAATGTGAGGTTTATAAGGCTTTGGGCATTCTCACCCTTTGAGCTAGCTTTTGGGGTGGTGTATCTCAAGGTTCTTAACATGGTATCAGAGCGTTCGAAATCCCATCACCTCCCACTTCCTTTGTAGTGGAATTTCCGCATGTAGGTGGACTTGTATGTTGTCCACCCTTCAGCCCAGTGGGCTCTCGTGTGAGGGGGCGTGTTGAGAAATATAGTCTCACATTGGTTGTATGGGCAACTAATGTGAGGTTTATAAGGCCTTGGGCACTCCCACCCTTTGAGCTAGCTTTTGAAGTGGTGTATCCCAAGGTTCTTTATATGCCCTTATACATTTCTCATTTCGCAGTCATACTTCAGATAGCACCTACGGTGACTTTCCTAAAACTTTAGTCCATAGCACCAATGGCGGATATATGATCTTTTATGATGGGCGACGAAAATAAAGTATCAAAGTTAAAAGTTTTATTAAGAAGGGGAAAGTTATAAACTTTTTTTTACAAACTCTTACAAATTTTACTATGTACTAAGAGTAGTACATTCTAGAACATATTATACTACTCTTAATACATTGTCTAGTTTATAAAAATTTGTAAAATAAAAGTTTGTAACTATAACCCTCCCTTATTAAGATTAATATTAGGATAGACTAATTATTACAAATATTTTTTATGGAAGGGCTAAGTATTAGCACTACTAGTCTAT